CGCAAGCCAAGAAAAGTCATCGACAGATAGTCTAGGCCACTCCACTTTCCTCTCTGCACTCTATGCAAAGCAACCCTAGATTGGAAAAAGATAGAAACAGTAAAAAAAGGAAAGAGAAAAAATAAAAGTAGGGAAAAGAAAAAAGAGCAAAAAGAGAACAAGAAACAGAAAAAGAAAGGAAGAGAGCAGATGGAGAGAAGCAAAGAGAAAGAGAAAGACACACGCCTTAGCGACAAGCAACAAACAAACAAACAGAACACAAAACAACACAAGACAACGCGGGCCACTCGAGCCAGCCCATGCACGTCATCGCTAGCAGGGGGTTGGTGCAATGGTGCATGCAGTGCTGGGGAGGGGGGGGGGGGGAGATAAGTCAAGCAAGAGGTTCATTTCGGCACGGTGTTTCGCGCCACTCGGTCCGCCTCTTCGCGTTTCCTGCCTTCCCCCTCGCCGTCTCGTCCGCCTGCTGTACCCCTCCCGCCCGCATGGTTGTTGCCGTGTCCGTGTTGTTGTCGGGCTTCTTGTTTCGTTTGAGTGCTCGTTGTCGGCTAGCCTCCTCGTCTTTCTTATACCAGGCAGCCATGAACCTCTTTGCTCCCTGCAGTACCCCTGTATGCCACGGTATCCCCAGGTCCACCTCCGCTGCTTCCATCCAAGTTGTTTCCGGGACTCCGAAGAAGCATGGCTCGGCGTCCGTAGATCCGTGCTCTGCGTCAAATATCTTGAGGTCGTCCTTCAGGCACATCTGCCAGTTTTGCTCCGGCTTCCCCCTGCCTGGGCCCTCCCCTCCCACCAATTCGTCAACCATCACCCGTTTCGGGAGTCGTCCGTCTGGCTGCCCTACCAGCGCTCCCGCGAACAGCAGGCGCCGTTGCCGGATAGTGGTTTCCACGCTCTGGCACCCTACCCTCTTCAGGATCTGGGCGTAGGAAAGTTGCCGGTAGGTGCCCTTCTTGCGTTGGTAACCGATGACTCGCAGAAGCAGTCGGTGGTGTATCGTCCGCAACGTCCGGTATTGGTGTTGACGTGGGGCCCATGTCAAGCAGCCGAACAGCAGTGCCTCCATCACCTCGGCCTGGAGCAGGCGAGTTTTCAGTAGGAACGGTGCTTTCGGCCTGTCGAAGAGCTCCTGGCCATATCTCCTGACGCATGCCCACGCCGTTCTGCTCCGGTAGTTGATCTGACGGGTGAGGTCGCCATGTTCGTTGACGAGGCCACCTAGGTACAGGAATTCAGGCGCCTGGGCATACCTCTGCCCTGCTGCCTCGATGATCAGCGGTGGCGGCGGGGGGGGCGGTGGTGTTGTTGTGTGCTTCTCCTTTGCGCGCATCAGGAGCGTCTCCATCTTCTTCTCCGATACCGTCAGCCCGAACTCCCCGAACACCTGGTCATCATTCTCGCCAGTCCTTCGGCAGACCTCGATATGACGCCGGCGTCATCGGCATACAGCATCCCCCATACCGCCCTCCGCACGCGGTCAAGTGGTGTCCTCGCCCCCGCTCCCGTTTCCTCCTCCAGGTACACGAGGTTCTCCAGACTAACATCATCCTCGCTGAATCGAATGGCAACGACCTCGATGACCGCGGCGAAGAAGATATTGAACAGCAGTGGGGACAGCATACACCCTTGTCATAGGCCTTGTGTGACCAAGAACCAGGCGAAAAACTCTCCGTCGTCCATGCGCACCCGGGCCCGCATTCCGTCGTGGAATTGGCGGATGACGGCGATCACCTCCTCAGGAATCCCGGCCCTGGCCAGGACCTTCCACAGCATCTCTCGGTCCACCGAATCATACGCCTTCTTCAGGTCGACGAAGCACATGTAGAGTGGTATTTTCCTTCTCCGCCCCAGCTCCTGGAGTCGGCGCATGATGAACAAGCATGTCGATAGTGGATCGTGCGGGTCGGAACCCGCATTGTTCCTCCGGGAGGATGTCGTTGGTTTCGCAGAATGCGCTTAGGCGGTTGGTGATGATCTTGATGGGGACCTTGCCTACGTGAGATAGTAGCGAGATCCCCCTGAAAATGTTGCAGTTGGACCGGTCACCCTTCTTGTACAACACCTTGATAGTTGCGTCCTTCCACTCTTGGGGGATCTCTCTTCCGTTCCACACCTCAACGACGATGTCACGGAGGTGCTCCAGGACGAAAGGTTTCTCGTCGTCGACGTCGATCTTGAGGAATTCTGCAGGAAGGGGGTAATAGGCGGAGAAAAGGCGGCAAAGTAGCGACGGTCACCCGCCGGTGCATCAAAATACGGAGCTTACGACGCGGAAACAGCTAGCTCAATCACACACTCTGATGTACGCGGGCGTGTGCATACATGCGTTGTACGTGCTGATAACAGTCGCAAACGTGTAGTTTGATCGTTGATGCGGCACCCGATTGTTCTTTTTCAGGGAAAAAAGCGACAATAACGGAGCGATGTCAAGCGTTTGCTCTGTTTAGGCTTGAACTCACGCTCTGACTCATAATTTTTCTTGTGCTCCTTCTGTTTCGACAAGCGCAAAAAAGATCTGAGGACGCGGTGCTTCGAGACGCCGGAACTTCGTACAACAGGTGTGTGCATGGTGTTTTTTCGTTCCCTGCAGCTATTTCTGTCATGTGCCATTTAAACAAAAAAGCACCACATTTCGATTCACCCGTCGGTGACGAAACCAAACGTCACAGATACAACGACAGCACTATGGCATGAATATTTTGGTAGTGAAAAAGGATCGTCAACACTGGATGGTCAATGGTGTTTTACGTTTGCCGTTACGGTGTGTCCTGGCTTCCATGGGTGATTTGTTTTTTCCCCACGACGCACACCTTGGGGGTAATGTACACTATTTTACATTTATTTTCAAGTAATTCGCATGGCAACTTGGACCAATGTTGATCACAGCTGGTGAGTATTGATCAACATGGATTCAAGTTCCTGCAAGTTGTGATCACACTTGCACGGGTACTGACTGCCGCTGTTGTGATGGAAAATTTACCTTCTTTGATACATTTCTGCTGCTTTCACGAATGTTGATGCGACCCTCATCGAAACGAAATGGTATACACAATGCGATGGAAGTTGATGACATTATCATGGAATGAGACGAAATCTACGACGCGCGACCACCGTTGACCTGTGATCGCACTTTCGATGGCAATTGCCTTGGCAATTTGTATTTGAATGCGATCGAAGTTGCCATGAAAGTAGCACAAGTACTGATACTTGACAGTGACCATATGTTGAGCGCGATATGATGAGAAGTCTGCCGAACATTGTAGGCGAGCCTCTCTATCAATTCCATCGTATATTGATCAGCTTTCATTACTTCGATGTTAGTGATATCAACATCTACGTGTATGTACGAGAGCTCAATGGTCATAATGTAACCGGAATCCGTCCAACCTCGATCAGGGTAGATCAATGTCGACCAGCTTCCCTGATCCTTTGTTTTATACTACATTGACAGAAGCACACGAACAACGTGAAATGTACCTCGCACATTATATGATCCATCTTCATCATATTCTGTTTGGATCAAATAGTTTGCATCAACTTTGACGATAATTCGTTGTAACCAATGAGATGAAATTTGGGTGAAAGTTATCATGGAACTTCCATCCAAGCTGAAGACACCAAAATACGCAACTGTCACCCAAGTTCGATCGACGTTGACGAACTTGTACCGACGTCGATCAACTGTGATTGCACTACTGGATTACAATACACCCCCTTCCCATCAACGTTGATCAGCTTTGATGCGTGTGGATGGAGGCTTGACTCAAGTTGATGCCAATTTTGCATCAACATTGATAAGAATGTGAAATATTGTGTCATGCACCGCACCTTGCGCGAGGCTGAATGAATCGATCGGCTTAGTAGACCTCAGCCGCCATAACGATCCACAAATCGAACACCGGCTCATCATGCTCAAGCACTGGTCGTGATCGCATCACTGCTGTGGTAGGGTACTCACTCACTCAAATGTCCCAGCACGATCTATAGTCTATACAGCAGCAGCGAGTGTGACAGGGTTATGGAGCAAGAGCACCCTCGGTTCCAGAACAAATTTCTCAGGACCACCGAGCGGTGTGTGCGCCGACGATTTCCTCATCACAATCCTATTCCGGCGGCTACATGACGTGGCTGCAGGACGCATAGACGGCCTCTTGGCAGAGCGTTGAGCTGCCTTATGCAGACTGTGTGGGCGAAGAAGTACAATTTTTTTCTGCGGTCTGGTGTCCTCATGGGCCGAGAAAGACTGTGATGTTGTCTTTTTGTGTTGCTGTACCCCACGGCGCCCTCGCCTTTCCGGAAACATACTACCACGCCTTTCCACGCCTTTCTGCTCTGGTTTTGCCCACTGTGTTGCTCTTGACCCCGTCGATGTTCTAACAACTTTAAGTTTGTTTGCAGATTCACCATCGTCATTCAGCTACTTCTCATGGGGCGTTTCACTCTTTTTGCGGCGCTCGGCGCTGCGCTCGTTGGCATATCGTCTGGTGAGGGCCTGCTCGTGAACTTTGGTGTGTAATTTATGCATGTCTCCTGCCGCGGGCAGGTTGGCGGCCGAACTGTGGAGGTCGTTTCGCTGTACAACAGAGCTATTTTCAAGTTGTTGAAGAACAGCCCGTCGTGCCCGAACCGGCGACTGAAAACATAGCCTAATGCCAACCAGCACCCTATGCCTCCCCTTCCAGTTGGATCAGAGTGTCAGCAAACAGTCTCATGGTTCGCACTTCAAAAAAGACGATCCGAACGCGAGGTACAACGCAGGCAGTGCGTATGACGTTGTTCCAGATGGGCAGCCGGCTTTCGTACGCACCGCACCGTCACTGTTATCGCTCTCCTTGCATATCCTCTCGTTCCTCACCCGTTGCACCCTTCCCTCGGGTTTGGGCGTTGCAACCACTTGGCGGGTTCGCGTGTACTCTACCCCAGCGCAACCCGGTTCTGTCGGCTGCTTCGCGGACGATCGATCGGACCGAGTGCTGACGGCCAAATGGTCGAGTAGCGAAATGACACCTACGGTGAGTAGAGAGTAGACGCCGCACCCGAAAGGCCCCTCTCAGAGTGCCCGGGAGCGGCTGGCCAGGCTAGGAGTTAGGCTGTGAGCTATGTCGCCAACCAAGTTCGCGCTGTACATTTTGGCATATAGAAGGTCGAACGCTACCGAGTGTCGTTTGTTCGCCATGAACAACTCTGGATTATTTGTCTGCGCGGTTATGGGCATGGAGTACCGCTTCCGAAAAAGAGGCGTGAGGGGAATATATGTTGACCTATGAGGCGCCGCCGCAATACTTTAGTCGGTATATATACTACCATGATTAGGTTGTTATGCATCTGGTGTCCTTCAGTGCTTTCGCCCGTGATCACCAACTGCCGTCTCGAAGGTAGCGTCGGTGCGAAAGTGGCGGTGCTTGGAGATACTGGCGTTGTCGTCGATCGGTGTTGCGATCACGTAGCTTTTGTGTCGGACGTGTTCGCGTTATTTGCGCACTCCTTGTCCAGGTCTGCGCCGACTACTGCCGTGGCCAACCTTCCAGCTACACGCACTACGCGACACAGTACGGTCGAGAATGCTGGTGCCAGGACGAAAGCGTCGACCTCAGAAGGCACGGCGCCGCCACGTGCGACTACCAGTGCTCCGGAGATGATTCGATTGTGTGCGGCGGGTTCGACTCGTTTTCCTTGTACGATCTGGAGGAAGGGGAGCTTCCGAGCCCTCCTACGGACGATAACTACGTGGGGTGCTTTGCCGACGACCAGAACGACCGCGTCCTGGGAGCGAAATCGTCTTCCAACGAAATGACCTCCGAGGTAGATGGGCAGGCGGGGTTGCACAGATTCTGGAAAAACGGGAACACACCAGACACACGAAATAACCGCCTTTCCATGTGTTTCGTCAAAGCGAGCATACACTGTACCAGGCATACTGCACGTCGGCAGTTGCCAAATTTGTGCATGGAACAACGCCATCGCCTAGAGGTTTTTTCACGGTTACAGACAGGTCACGGTCGTTGTCCGGTACACGCGTCGTCGGGGCCTTTATCGCGAAAGCCTGGCGCCGAACTGCAACAGGGGGGCGAATGTACAAACTTCGACAACCCGCGGTGTTTCTCTGACATGGTCGGCTCTCGCATCCCCGGTTGTTGTCACTTACGGTTTCGTTTTCAGGCGTGCGCCTCCTACTGTGCCGACGAGTCACCCGGTAACACGTACTACGCCACGCAGTGGGGCCACGAGGTACGGTACCAGCAGCGTGGTTTGATCTGCAGCACTCTCTGTGATGTAGCGATCGAGAGCACCGGTGGGTTTTGGCGGGACTTGAGGTTTGCCGTGAGCTCCTTTACCTCGTTTACTCAGGGTTTTTCGCCGTGCTCGTTCGAAGTCGTCGCACAATCTTTAGGAGTGGGACCACAGGCGCATGAGCGAAAGATGCCTGTCTCATCAAGCTGTCCCATTCATTCATGCTCCACACGCTCACGGTTGCCCCGCTCCTGCCCTTGTCCTCACGCCCCCTTTAAAAAGTGTTGGTGCGCCGCCGAAGTCCACCTCAGGCACGGCGACGGAACCTGCGACATGGCGTGCACGGGGGATGCTGGCACCACCTGCGGTGGTTTTGATGCGTTCGACCTGTTCGAGCTAGGGCCACTTTCCCCCTCGGAGGACCATTACTTCGGATGCTTTGCCGATGACAAGAGCGACCGCGTGCTAGGGGACAAGATGTCATCCGGCGACATGTCGCTGCAGGTGAAAGCTGTTTCACGGACGGCGTTCGCTGGAGCGACGCACCCCATCGTGGATCTAGTTGCCCTGTAACACTAGAACATGCCAAGCACCCGGCCTTGTACCAAAGCTGTCCTTCGCCTTCTTGACAACCGACTTCCCCGCCCACCGCGTCGGTTTCTCCGAACCTGAAGTTGTGCGAGGACTACTGCACGGCGATGGACAAGCCTTTCTTCGCCCTTCAGTGGGGACGAGAGTGAGTAGTACTCTCCCGCGGACTCGCTTGCGTGTGCGAGGTCTACTTGTTGTACTTCACGTGGAACAATGATGCTTCTGCCCAGGCGTGTGAGAACATATTGAAAGAGCAACCGCCTTTTCGAAAACTATGTTGGGCATGGAATTCACAAGTAGAGGTACACGTTGATGGGACCGTTTCCGCCAAGGCTGTAGAAAACGGCTTGCGAGGCTGCCACTTGGATGGGCATGTGCACAAACGCGTTTTTTGGGCTCAATTTCCACTGTGTTTTCTGTGAAACCCGTAGACGATAGCAGCCTGAGGGATAAAATACCATTGCTATCCTGGCACAACACGCAGGTCTTCCCGCAGAAAGTGAACCGTTGTGTGACGTGCTCAACAGGTGTTGGTGTGGCGGCTGCGACCTGTTGGATGAGGGACACCGGTTTGACAGGCACGGTACCGCCTCTTGCACAGATCACCCGTGCACGGGCGAGGCTTCTCGCGATTGCGGCGCGTACGACGCGTTTTCGCTGTACTATCGCGGAACCTGCGGTGAGAATAGGACATGAGGGGGTGGTCCCCGTAGGAACCCCCGGTGGTCTAGGCTGGTTGGCAGATGCAAGAAAAGCGCCAGATTGACCCCTCAAACAATGAGGCGACTCGATCGCGGGGCAGCTAAGCTTGTTGGGCTTTGGAGGCGGTCCTGCCCTTCTTGTCGTCCTGTCAATCGATCTCTCTGACGCCCTCCTTCTCTTCCTCTATCCCACTGTCTTTACTCATCCCCTCCACCCTCCGTCCACCTTGGGGGTCGTCGGTTAACATGTTGTTCAGAAGAGGGTCCGACGATTGAACCGTCGTTTGCGCCTACCGGCTCTCCGACTTCGTACCCAACTCTGGACCCTACAATCACCGTCATGCCCACCAGCACGCCGACCAGCGCTCCTACCGCTGGTGAGTCTCTCTGGCTTTGGATTTGTGCCGTTCTCGAGCGGATGCGTTCTTGCGCACCAAACTCCTTCCGTTTCGGACATGCTAGTTCTGGGGATGAACCTCCAGCTTCGTATGAAGCCTTTTTTTTTGTTTCTCTGCGTTGGCGGTGTTTTTCTCGTGCTTGCACTTTCCGTGTTACGGGCGAAACTGTCTCAATACCTCTTGTTTCGCTTCGACATCATCACGTCTTGTAGTCGGTGCATCATTTCTTGATTACTCCGAACCAATCTCAAAACGTCCTCGTTGCCGTCGCCATTTTTTCCTGTCCGCACTTCCCACGCGGGGGGTCCTACGCGTACTCGCTGTACTCCCGCGGCACGTACGGTGAGTTTGCTTGACCGAGCAACATGTTCAGTTGTAATCTAGCTGGGTCACCTCATCGTAGTACCGCCCGTTGGTAATCTGCGTGACATTCAAGGGAAACCTTTCCAACTTGAGCTTTTGGAAGAAAAATTGTCTTGTGCCAACTGCACGGGTGGCTGTGGTAGACTCTTGCCTTTGACCATTCTGCCCCAACTACGCCGTGCATGTGCCCTACGCGATCTTCCGCCGATTTTTGCATTTCAGATGATACCACTTCGGCCCCCACCACCTCGGCCCCTACCACGTCAGTAGTTCCTACCAACTCCTCACTGGAGTTTGTAAGTACTGTGCGAATGGAAGTTGGAGATGACATTACTATTTTGGGGTGTTCAGATTCATGGATCTATGTGGAGTCGCCTACTTCACCTACCATTCAACCAGATGAGCTTTTGCTCATTATGAATGGTCAAGAAGGCGTGTCATATGCAGACACCCTGGTTGATTCGTGTGAATGTTTTCCCCTAATGAGGAAGATTGTTGGGATCGAAGCTTCTCAAGAGCACAGTGGGATTAGTTGTTCTGGGTCGAGTTGTTGGATCCTGACCTCAGATTTGCTGACCCCGCTTGACACCGTCTCTGGTACGGATGTTGACGACCTCGGTTTGACCGAGCTCCAAGACGTTCCCTGGGAGTCTCTCGCAGGGAGCATGTGTGTTTCGAGTGAGATCGATGGTCGTAAACTGTTGGGGGAATGTAGGGATGCATGGGAGGGTCCACCTTGTCCCTACAATGATTGTCCGGATGGCAAATGTTATGAATGTTCCTCAAACCCGAGCGGTTGTGATAATGGATGTGGTCCGGCGGATTGGCCGAGTGCAGCTACTAGAATTATCGCAGAACTTACACCATTCGGCAACGGGTGTTGTAACCATGACTACTGCTGGTCTGCCAGACTTGAAGACAAGGGTGGCTGTGATTTGGAATTTTGGGGGGATAACCTCGCCGGATGTTGGTCTACGTTTGGGCTTCTTGCGATTATTAACCCTAAACCCTTAGCCGCATGTAACATTGTCGGCACAGCGTTTTATCTTGCTGTTGCTCTGGGTGGGAATGACGCCCATGAAGAGGCCGTCCAGAAACAGCGAGATTGGGAAGAAACCTGCCAAGCCACACCCGCACCCTCTCCCACGCCCGAACCGGTAAGCCTCTAAGCCTATTGGCCAGTTATCGTTGCTGGAAATTCGAGACGGATCTCCCTTCCTGCGATCGTACGCGCAATTCTCTTAGTCGTTTGCTCCGAGCCGTCGTTTTAAACTACCGGAGATTTTCCGCGCTAGGATCTGCCGGTCATTCGGGGACAACAATCGCGCCGGCACAGTCTAACACGTGCCTAACATACGATACACACGCTTTGGAGGGCAGAGCGTACCCCGGCTGCCTCTAGCCAGGCTGGAAACGTGGATCGGTCCGGGCCACACATGACATTGAACGAACGAAGCACCATCGACAATTGATTAGGCCATACGAATTGCTGTACCAGTGCTGAGTTTGGTGTTCGGGCGGACAGGCTGGAAACAGCACGATGTCGATGCCTAGGCCGAGGGAGCCGTAATGCTTTGGTTAATCCACCCTGCTTGTTGCTGATCCTGTCAACAACTACATGGACATAAGCTTACCCGCTCTCTCAACCCACCCCCTTCGTATCATTCTGCTGGTCGCAATCCATCTTCGACCTCTTCCTTCTTCCCGGTTCCCGTGCAGAAACGCGGTAAGGAGAGATGGAAGAATGCCTTTCCAGCGTTTGTTTTGTCTGATACGCGCTTTTGGCGTATACCGAGAGAGTTTAAGGCGTACCCCACTTGTGGCCGTGGCCTCGCCGCCCAAGCCCATGCTTGACCTTCTACCGGTGACCTGTTCCACCTTGTCTGGACTGCCATGTCAGGTGGATCCGCAGACGGAGATCCGCACTTGCGGGTCTACGACGGCACCGGGTACGACTGCCACGGGCAGGGCGAGTTTGTGTTGACCAAGGCTGCCGCCACGGAGAGCGAAGTCCAGGCCCGTTTCCAGCAGTGGAGCCAAAACCCGAACCCAGCGGTCACGGTCACCACCGGCATCGCAGCGCGCGAGGGAACCTCTTCTTTGATCCAGGTGACGACGGCTGCCTCCGGCGGTGTCGAGGTCTTGGTGGATGGAGAGCTGTACGACGCGAGTGCTACTTCTGTCATCGGAGTTGCGCTGGAGGTCACGTCGTCTCGGGTGGAGATTAGCTTTGAGTCGGGACTAGACGTGTTCGTGTCAACCAGCATCAACGGAATGCTGAGGGTCAACGCGTATGCGCCCGTCAGCCTCGCCACTACGGGTCTCCTCGGCAACAACAACGGAGAGCTGGGCGACGACTTTACGGTGAGCGTGAGAAAAGGCTTCGCGAATCAAATCATGCAACGAGTTTTTTTCAGTCATGCACTGCGGTTACGCCTCACCAAGACCTCGGTTGGTGCTGCATTGTGCGTTGTACCTCTGCCAGCATCTACACGAAGTAAAGGCCGCCGCTGTTTGCTTGAACTTCAAGTGTTACCGAAGTACTTCCGCGACTCTTGTTCCTCCCTCCCGTCAATTTGTTCGCCGATAACCGGTGTTGTCCGTGCGTCGAACTTGTGCCCGTCTGCACTTACTGCCTACCCCTATTCTCTCTCCCTACTCCACACACCTCATCGAGTAGAACAGGAGATATGTTGACGCTTGAGGTCCCTCCCCTTGCTGAACGCGGCAGACCGTGGACGGAGAGACTGTCGGCTTCGCGACTGCCTCACCGACAGTGGAAGAAGGCACGAACTACTGCACCACGAACTGGTGCACCACGGCAGACGCGTCTCTCTTCACCTACGCGGAGGGGGAGGACCACGGCACGTTCGACTTGTGCGACGCGGTCTACGCGGCGCCCGTGTTGCCCGATGCCATCCCGGCGTCAATCACGGAGGTACGTTCGGGAGAACACATCGGGTTTCAGCGAAAGACCAAAAACTCGAACACATGTCCTCGGGGTCCCTGGGACGCACTGTAGCTGGCCGCGTTTGTTTTGAGTGCGATTCGACACGTTTACATAGACTAAAACGTCGACATGTGTCCTCCATGAAGGAGCAGAGCTGTTTTCGTGATCGATCGCACAGTAGTAAATAGAGCGTCAGGGGCATCCATACTTCTCGTCATCATACCTATCCGAACTTGGTTCTCCCCAGCGATGCCGTGTCGACTGGTTCACTCCTCCCGCCACTTTACGTAAAAAATTATCTCAGCTGTGCGGCGACAACGCCGACTGCATCATAGACGCCCTTCTTGCTGGCGAGGAGGTGGGTCAGGCGACGCTCGAAGGACAAGCGGAGGATCGAGCCTACCAGGAAGAAGTCGCGGGCAAGTGTACTGATGGCGGCGGTGGTCGTGGACTTAGTCGTTTCCCTTTCCAATGCGCCTGCTCCTGCGAAATCAACCCAGTTTGCAGCATGGATGAAGCGGTTTGCGTAGTGAAAATATGAATCAAACACTCTTTAAACCTTGACCACGTGTGGTACACGACTTGCGTGGATCCTGCACCATTGTAGCTGGTGGCGGTGAGGGTGGGTTATTGCGTCTAAATAGGTCCCCTGAAGAGACCTTTTTTCACAGGTTGGACGCAGGCTAGATCTACCGGCGACTGATTCAGTCACGAAGAAAACTGAATAGCGAAAGAACCTGGGACAAAGGCTAAATGAACAATTGCAGGTCAAAGAGAAGAACGGCGCCGCCGGTTGGTTTGGGAGAAACCTGGATCTTCTCTAGCGACGCGCTTGTCCTCCAGCTCTCTATGTTGTTATGGTCACTGTTTTTCGAAATCCCTCGCGCTGAACGGGGCCTGTCATCACTACGGCGTAGCTGTGTGGTCGAAACCTGACAAAATACACGTCTTTTAGGCGGGTAAAAGGCGTCGATGCTGGCAGCAACCGGCTCAAAACGCAGCCCTTGTGGCATCAACACCCGCAGTCACCGCCAACTCTGCCTGGCACATTATGCAACCTCGATCTCGAATTAAATTAAGCCCCACGCGTTGTTTGCACCAAACGTACCTGAACCCACGAAACAGGTTTGTGCGCGAGCAACTCTTTCAGCAGCACCGGCGCGCCGCCCTGCACGACTTGCCCCGACGGAGAAGTTTCCGGCACCGGGGCGACCGCGTGCATCCGTCAAGGTGCAGTCAATTTTGACCTACTGAGCCTGTAGCCCCGAACATTTGTGCCCGAGCGCAGTCTAAAGCCGCATGCTGCGTTTAAATGCCGCGCACACAGCATGGCATGGAGGCATTTCCTGAGAACAAGCATGTACGTTGTTGGGAAAATTGTCAGCGGTCAGGCGTTGGAAGGATATACGCCGATGTTGAGGCGCACCTGCCGCCAAACCTAACGGTGTTCTAAATGACATGGAGCTTTCAACGGACTGCTGACTAAGGTATAGGACTCACAAAGAATGGGGTTGCTGAAGTGTTCAGGAAGTTGTCTCTTCTCCTCCATTCACAACCACCTGGAGAGGCAAATTGCGACCCAAAGCTGGCTACAAGACATTGTTCAACACCTGTATGACATGCACCACATAACGTTCGTGCGTCAACGAGGGACGCAGCATACAAGAATTTACGTTTTCCTTCATATGTATTGCAAGTTCTCGTTACCATCGCGTGGCTCTTGCTGACGCCGTGAAACCCCTGTTGCTCTCGCGTTGCTTTTCCTTTGCAGAGCTCGTGGGTCTGAGTCTCCCCGAGAACATCGCCGCTGCCATGGCAGCTGACGTAAGTTTGCTTTCAGGCAGCTCTACCTAGCTAGCAATAGCTGTGCGAAAAATGATCAACTCTCGTGATTCTACGTTTATGGTGGTACGCTTCATGGCTCGCGTTGTCCGTGTCATGTTCTTTATCACTGAACGAGGTCTTTGAGATGTCGTTGGCCAAGACGCCGTTGGTGTCGAAATCTGTTTGTTCCCGCGAGGACATGGATCGTGGTCTTGGTCGCAGCTCTCCGCCTTGGGAGCACCGCACCAGAAGCTGCCAAGCCGTCAGGTAGAAACGGCCATGCACAGCCGAGCTCTACGACATGTACCGTGCCGTGGACACAACATCGGGCCCATCCGGCCGGCGGCCCGTTGCAGCTTCTTGTCCAGGCAGACCACCGTCACCAAGTTCGTTGGCACAAAAACAATGTTCGAATTCGAACGAGAAGTTCTGAAGGTCACATAAAAACCCCTCCTCCTGCGTACCGTGAACTTCTCCATGCACAGGCCACGGGCGGCTTTGCCGGCCCGGGGATCCCTCACCACGACACCGGCGGGAACGATCCAGCTCACCGAGGAGGACGGCGGCTCCGTGTCGCTGTCCGGCACTTTCGTTCGCGACGACGGCGCGGCGCTGCCGAGCTCGACTTCCGTCTTCATCTACACCGAGAACACGGCACAGCCGGACGACTTCGTCCGCGGCCAGGAGGCACTGGATCCCTCGACGGGGGCGTTCTCGACGGTGGTGACCGACATCCCAGCGGGCAGCACCAGGTTGCTCCTCAGCTTCGTCGTCGTGGATCCCGCGGAGGCACTTGATACCGCGGGAGCCGACACGGCGTTCGCGCTCGACGTCTCCAACTCTGCCTGTGTGCCGTCGCTGACGATCACCCTGGAGTGGACCGGCGAGACATCTGACGTAGATCTCTATGTGGTCGAGCCCGGCGGAGAGGTCGTCTACTTCAGCAACCGGTTTGGGGTAAGCGAAGTGCCGACGGAAAGAGTCTTTTCAGGCACGTCTGACCGGCCGTTGTGGCCTGTTGCCGTTGGATGGCAACTTGGGGAAGTCGAACATGCTTTAGCGCGCACGGGTCGGCTGCACACCAGTGTTCAGTGGCATCAGGCGTAGCCGTGAGCACTCCCGAACAGTACCTTTGGTGGAAGCTGTCGTCACTTATTGCTTATCCCCGCCTCTCCTCACGAACCTGCTGCTGATTCCGTAGGACGTCGGGTTCCTCGACAACGACGATGTGTACGGGTTCGGGCCCGAGAACTACATCATCGACAGCGGACTCGATCCCGCCGCCAGCCAGGTGCTCGGCGAGTACGAGACGTACGTCAAACTCTTCTCAGGCGACGCGGCCACGGAAACTTGGCGCCTGACTGCCCGCGTTTCCGGAGAAGTGGCGTGGATCGAGGAGGGCGATTTCATCTCCTCCACCCAGTCTGATACTTTTGCCGTCTCTCTGAGTGACTACGATCCCACTTGCGGAGGTGTCCCGTGAGTTGCCAACTCACCGTCCCATTTCACCGCCGGCTGTTGCAGAGGAGCAATGGCAGCAGTTTGAGAATTCCGCCAGGTGTTGCCTGAATTCGGCGCGAGGAAGCCCCTCCACGGAGCAGAGAGCGAGCGAGCGAGAGAGAGGACCGTTTGTGGTGATTGGCGAAGAGTGTCCATGTGCCTTCCAGGTTGCAGCATGCTGATTTTCTTACGAATCCGCTGCACCATTCTTCTTGCGCAGGCAGCGATGAACCTCTAGCTAGCGGTTTCATGTACCTTTGTGTGTACCTTCTAATTAAGTGTTCTGATTGTGACGTTTCTGATGTTGAAATTTGAGATGCAACGTGTGGTGCCATCTAAGGATGAAGATCACGTGAGGCTCAGACTTGGAGATGCCTGAGGTAACTGCTTCGGCTATCGTGGCAACGTATTGTGCGTGTAATCTACGTAGTCATGGTTTTTTATTGCAGCGGTACAGCGTACAAGCATCATGGGGGGGGGGGGGGATGATGTACCATGCTCCTTGCACACAGCAGTACAGATTTCCGTGCTTTCCGTTGGCTTTGCGTCCGCTTTGCCTATGCGTGAGGGAGCAGGCAGGGGGCGAAGGTTGAAAGCCGTGTGTTTTGAGTTTTTTGGTAGTCTTGAGATGGGCATTTGATTGTTTGATATAGTTGCTCAACGTTTCACGTTAGCCTTCCTTATACCAGTAGTAGGTAGCTCCACCGCTGCACATACAGAGAGTACCCGTGAGTGCTCGGAGCATACGTATCAAGAGTCACGTACACCACCATTCACCAGACTGTCACGTTTAATTGTCCTCAATTTGGGTCAGGTGTTAAGAGGGTTTGGGTTGGGGGTTGGACGGCTAAGGTTGGGGGTAGGGTTTGGGCCCGAGGACAACATATTAATGGCCCTAGCCCAGACTTCGGGGTTCGCATCGAGCCTAGCCAAACCTTGCTCATTCTCGCCGGCTCGATTTCAAGCAGAAGGAGCCCCGGGATGTGCTCGAAAGCCGACGGGCAACGGGCGACCACCTGCCGACATCTCAGGGGCTCGTCCCTTTTTGTAAACGGAGCAAAAATCATTTTCAGTACACAGCGTCCACGGAGACATGCCGGAGGTAAGCTGCATCAAACGGCGCGCTACCAACATTCGAACCTCCATCGTGACTCACGAAGTCCTCTCTAATGTAACGGTCAACAAGTCCCTGCTCGCCAGCGCTATGGCACACTAACGTATGTCGAAGTTCGACACAAACATGGCACACAACCATGCCTGGAGAATACGGAGAACGATGGTCTCGGCTTTACCTTTGAAAAGAGAGGCAGGACACCACCCGCCTTGTATACTGTGTCGCAATGGCGGAAGATCCAGGAGAATATTCGACATTTTTTTATCGGTAGTACTGTAGTGTACTCCCGACGGGAGACGATCGACACATACAGAACACAAGTCGAAACCGCGGAGGAGCTCCTACAATCCGATCAACCCCCCCTCTTTGCGGTTCGGACAGGAAATGCACGTGTGAGGGATTGAATCGAACACCCTACCACTGAAGTCCCCGACGCCTCTTCAAGTCTCTCAGGCTACCTACACGAAGACGCGAGGTGGAGTTGGACACAGCCGAACTCTCCTGTGAGCAGAGTGAGTTCGCTCGTTGCCAAGTTTTTGTCAAGAGCCGTGGGTCTGTTCGCAATGAATCCACGACACTGAGAAATGTTCCAAGGAGTGAAACTAAACATGGCCGACAGAAGATGGTACCCGGATGAGATGATGGAGTTCCACATGCACAGCCCGACGCCAGCATGATGATCTTCGGATCAGAGTGAGTGCGCATGCTACTCTCCGAATAATTTGAGCACCTGAAACCATCGAGCAGCTTTGGAACGTTCTTTTGTGCTTGAAACATTCCCTTCACGCAAGAGGGAGGTAGAGACGGGATTGTCCACCGCGACGGACGATTGCGTCTCACACGGTCTTCTACTGCTCTCCGAGCTACTTGAACTCCTGAAACAAGCAAGCACCTTTGAACGTTCTCTGTGCTTCATACATTCCTTTCACGCGAGAGGGAGGTAGAGACGGGATTGTCCACCGCGACGGACGATTGCGTCTCACACGGTCTCCTACTGCTCTCCGAGCTGCTTGAGCTCCTGAAACAAGCAAGCACCTTTGAACGTTCTGTGTGCTTCATAAATTCCTTTCACGCAAGAGGGAGGTAGAGACGGGATTGTCCACCGCCACGGACGATTGTGTCTCACGCGGTCTACTGCCGTTCGAGCTGTGTCCCACACCGTTGAAGGGATTCTCCCAGACCATTCAGCGAGAGACAGGATTGCCCACCGCGACGGACGATTACGTCTGAGACGGGCCGTCTGCTGCTGTACGAGCTGTGTCCCACACACACCGTTGAGAGATTTCCTACGATTCTGTCATTGCTGATGTTATCATCATTGTTATTTCATTTGCCATCCGACAATTGCAGAGTGAGATTGTAAGATAACGATCACCTTTTTTTTTTTTTTTGCGACGTGTTTGCATTTTCCGTTTTCCTTTGGCACTGCCGAGAAGACCGCTGTATCTTTACGCCGTCCATCTTTCGCATTTATCATTTTACACCGAATGACGCAGGACGGGTCGGCCTTCATCATGCCCACCTTCGACTTTCGTATCGACCAGACGCCGACTGCACATAGTCGTAGAAGTGTGGAGTTAGCTGTGTTGTGACGGCATCTTCCACGCACCCACTCCTCCTACCCGTCCGTGCTGGTGTGTCGATGGGAGTCTTGTACGTCGGGATACAGCACTGAAATTCTTGGGTTCTTTATGGAAGCAAATTTTCCTGCAACAATGAGCAAAACAATTGCGTGCATGCATATGTAGATATCGCAATAACTGTTTTTGCTTCACAGCAGTGTGGACCAGACGCCGAACGACGTCCGCCTATTACGGCAGGCAACGACCATGACTGGATGGCATACCTTCTGCGACGGCGAGCCAGACTACTATCATTACTATGCGATGCAAACATCCGTTCGCGTGTCGTGCGCCTGCCACATGTCCACCAACAGGTACACGCAGAGCTCCCGCTCTCTCTGTAGTTGTTGCCGCGCAAAGGCTCTCCTCGGGGTTTTCCACATTGTACTTTTATTTTTATTTTCTGCGGTACTACTGTACATAGAGGTCGTGATGGGATTGTCGAGGTACTTGTGTTGTCATGGCAGCTTCCTGCCGTTGCGATTGCCATCGTCGCTTAAGCGCTTGTGTCTTCAAACCTTCTTAGCCGGCCTTCAAACTTCTTCCTGATAAGTCTCTGTGTTAACTTCTCCGCGAATGAGTCATATGCAGTTATGACCCTGCGCTTCGACTTTCACGATGGGTATTTTACCTCCCCGTCTTGCATTGGTGAGTACCTGCGTTATAAGGGAGGATTGCATTAAAGTACGACTTTTTTCCCGTTGCGTTTCCTTCCCCCATCCCTCTTTGCGTACCGCATGTGTGTCATTAATCGTCGTCGGCTCGATACTTGTGGATTACCTGTTGGAAATTGTGGGAATCCTTTCATTCCGAGAGAGCCATAGGTCGGCATCCGGCCTGTTCTTTTTTTGTATGCATTTTTCTTCTTGTGAAGTTTTGACGTTGCGCTTGCCGTCATCGCTCAAGTGTTTGTGTCTCCAAACCTTGTCAGCCCGCCTTCAAACTTCTTGTTGATTATTCTCCGTGGTAACTTCTCCGCGCATGAGTCATATGCAGTTATGACCTGCGCTTTGAGATGGGTATTTTACCTCCCCGTCTTGCATTGGTGAGTACCTGCGTTATACGGAAGGATCGTTCAACGACGCAAACGTCGACGTCTCCGTTTTTTTTTAATTCCCTTCACACTCCTTCCTTGCGGCGGTTTTCACACCGACTTCGAACGTGGGGTGCAATTTCCTCTCTTCGTACCTTCCTCGTCGGCCTTCTCCATCGTTATGTACATAATGTATAATGAAAGTTTGTTGTCGAAGACCGAATAAACTTTAAGTTTGTTGTGCACGGAAGAATTCGGAACATCTCGATCTACGATTGTATTTGGCCGCCTAGGAGGCGTGTCGGTTGGGTTGTCTTGGTTTGGTTTTCTGGGGTCTTACAAAAAGAAGGTCTCACGGAGTTCTCATTCTGCTGCCTCGCTGCTCCTGCATCAAGAGTTTGATAGACGCGTGCCTACTGGACCAAAGGCCACGTGTTGAGGAATGCACAGTGTGTAACACGCAGCCCGCGTCGGAGGGTCACGCGGGAAGGAGGGCAGCAGCTAGCTACATCGAAGGTTGGACCCGTAGCTAGCAGAAATTCGTAGCTTTAGCAGAAATTCGTACTGCGGAACGAGGGCAGGATGATGATGGAACACGCTCGGCTGGAGCGACCAGCCGTGGAACTACAAGGGGACTACTACCTACTTCTCTGGGGGCTTGACAACCCGCATGGTATGTATGTGTCTTCGCGTCAAATCTCATCGAGGGCTGGCTAATCACATCTCATCCACCGCCATCGTTATCAATAGACAGCGAGCAGTATCTCCCGGTGTGATGTTTCCGAACGGCTGCATTCAACGGTGCAACAGCTCCGCCACGCACATTTTGTTGTTAATGGTGTGTGTGTGCACATGCACGTTCGTGTGTGTAAAAGAAACTTTAATCCGTCAGGTATCGATGATCGCGAACATGACTTTACTAGTGTAGTGGCGTTGACCACCTAAATCGCTTCGGTCGCATGGTTGGAATCGATCTACTGCGGGTGAAATATACCCGGGAATGTTCTCATAATATTTGGTCATATATGTCTCGAACGATGCATAGCGGCGAGAGCGCAGGGTCAAGTTCGAACTACATGCCCTCTCCCCTCCCCCAACACGGTTAGGATGGTAGGAATACCTGTGTTTCTCACCACGGTTGGCGTAGTATGCAGCAACACCGGAAATTTTCCTTGTCTGGAACTTCGAGAAACTACGCCATTCATAGCGCGTCTTTCAAATGGAACCATGACGCGGGCGGGGACAATTAATTATGGTTGAAATGCCTCGGGTCGGCATTGTCGTCATGTGCTCGTCGGTCAGCTTGCTCGGGAATATCGGATGCGCGCCAAATAATTGACGCTCGACGATATCTGCAGAGACAACCGCGTCGAAGCCACTTTATTCCTTTCCTATGATGAAGCCACAGGCTGTACGGTCCCATTGTTTTTTTTTTCTACCGTGGGCCGCGGCGTAAGTCGAACCGCAAGAAGGAATTCGACGTGGCGCCGCGTACCCCCCCCCAATAAAAAACAAATAAACAAACAAACGATACCGTGCCTCGCGCGTCGCTTGATCCCATGTAACCTGTCCCGGTTACGTTCGGATGCCCACGAGATTGGAAACCCAGGATGCACGACAGCGCAGCCCTGTCGCTTTCGTTCTGTTGTTTCTTTTCTTTTTCAACCTCGTGCTTTTCGTCATGTTTTCCCGTGTAGTGAGATATCCCAGGCATCATGCGGATTATTTCGCGGGAACCTCAAAGATACAGCGGGAAGCAAGCAACGCCATGAAACCACCATACGGCGCAGGGCACATGGCGATCAAGAAGGGCAAGGCAAACGATACTTAGCGCTTCATAGTGCGCCACAGCTGACTATCGGTACTGCACGCCACCGCCGAGAGACAGAGTAGGGTCTCTCTGAGGTAGCGCTCGCCGTTGTGCTTCTTGGTGGAGGAACTCTTTGAGTCCTCCGATTTGGGGATTTTCTAGGCGGGCGGCGCGTCACGAAGGTCAACGGCTGAGCTGTGCCGTCCCGTTTTGCGGTCAAATTGCGTGCAAGGTGCGTATCGCACAGTTCTGTGTTGGAAATATAAGCGTACTGCACGACATCGGACGACCCGACGGGTTGTACTGTTGTATCCCGAAGCAGATATTGCACGACTTCGAACTGGGTATTTT